TAGAAATAAACAAATTATTAGCTGGTTTTTGGTTTGTTATAAACTTGAAAATTAAGACTTAAGATTATTAAAACGACGATGATAAAAACATTTTCCTCAAAGAAAACTTCTTATTTTCGAATTATAAGTTACAGTTTTACATTTCTAGACAATCTCACTAAAACGGAATCACATTCAACAACGAAACAATCTGAATTCTCGCGTAGTGAAGCTTTCTTATTTACTTTAATATATAATATAAACGTTTAATCTCTACATCCTGCGTTGTAACAGGCAAGCTGTGAGGCTTTACAGAACGACATCTGCTTCACCTGGGAGAAACGTGTCCGGCTCTGTACCTTGCCAGCGCCTTCAAATAATCCTTCTTGGCCGCTTCGTTTTTCCTCTTGTACACCTGAAAGGATGAACAAGGTAAAAAAAGCTCAGACAGTCGGACTGGCGTCACGTCGTTCCCTGGGGCGGGAGTTTCCTCCCCCTCACCTGCTTTCTGGCTTCCTCCCCCAGGCTGTCCCACATCTGAGGCCACTATCTTGGAAACTTCTCCAAACGTGGCGTTTGGGATTTTGTCCCTTGATGTCGCCTGCGTGCCCTGAAGAACAAAGCGGTTAGGCCGACACCGTTTTATGAGGCTTCGTTCGGGTCTTTCCGGTTTCGGCGGCTTCTTCGCTCTTGCCCGGCTTTCCTGCTTTGGGCGTCCGGGACAGCCGGGAGCTGCTTGGAGGCGGGGCGGAGACGGCGACTCGGACAGGGAGGGTCGAAGAGAGATGACTCCCGGAAGACGGCCAAGCGAGACGGGAGATCCACCAAACACGCTCGTGAGGTGCGAAGGAGGAAGAGACGCAGGCCAGAGTTAAAGGATGTTTCGTGTTCATGTATTACGTTGTATTTCTTGAGGAGTTTCCCACGTTGGATTTGTTTTTTTTTTTATTTTTTTTTTTATGTCAGAGGATTTAAAATGTGCAAACTGGTTGGTGTAAATCAGAATCTAAAGGAGGGATTAATTGTGTTTAAGTTTGGAGTTATTCCTGTAATATTTTAAAGGATTAATGTACAAATAAGGCTTAATTGCACTTTTTCATCTTATGTATTTAATTAAACTTGTAAATTGATCTTTTATAATATTTATTAACTGTAATTTGACTTACTTATTAACTGATAAATGATACTATATTAAAACTGTAAATTGGATCTTTATATTATATTAAACTGTAAAATTTGATCTTTACTAATATTAAACTGGTTAAATTTGATCTTCTAATATTATAAACTGTAAAATTTATCTTTTTACTAAATTAAACTGTAAATTTGATCTTTTTATTTATTAAACTGTAAATTTGATCTTTATTTATATTAAACTGGTAAAAATTTGGATCTGTATTTTTATAATCTTTTATATTTTGTTCTAATTTATTATAAAATGTTTGTATAATAAATGTTTGTATAATAAATGTTGTTTGTATATCTGGAGTTTTGTAACAAAAATATTTCCCCTGGGATTATTAAAGTCTTTCTGATTCTGATTAATAAAAACTCTGGATTGCTTTTGAAACTAAAAACATCCTCGTAGAGTCGAATATAAAAACATTCCTACCGTGTCTTTGTTCTGATTTAACTTTGGTAAACAAACCTGATTACACTGACTCACGTTCCCTGTGTGCAGAATCACCTGAAAACCGTTTTAAAATCTCAGATATTAAACATTTACGACTTATTAACCATCCGCTTCGTTAGGACGCTCGCAGACGACGCTGGTGTTCGGGGCCTTTAGAGCCTCACCCTCCTAAAGTCATCCATGTCGTCATCCTGGAGCGAGCTGGTGGGCGACGCCGTGGCCGACAGAGGGTGGTCGGGCGACTGGGGGCGCTGCAACATGCTCCCGCCTCCCAAGCCGAGCCCCAGTTGAGCGCTGAGCTCCGACTGGTCGATGGTGGTCAGCTGGTTGGACCCCAGCAGGCTCTGGCTCATGTCACCCAGCGGGACGTCGATGGTCACCGGGGACGAGCTGCTGAACTGGGAGCCGATGGGATGACCGAGATCCTGGAAAGACGGGAGCGGGAGAACGTGAGCGAGTGAAGACTTTTGGTGTTTGGAGATAACTTTTTGAGATGTTAGAACTCACCATTCCCAGCGACGACCCCAACAAAGCGCTTCCCCCCGACTGGTTGATGACTCCCAGACTCAGGTGCTCCAGCCCCTGCGAGGGGGCGTTGACGAAGGTGGAGGCGAACGAGGGGTCGTCCCCTTCCACCACGGCGTTCCCGGGTACGACCACGCTGTCGGAGGGGCCGGCGTCCGACAGCTCCCCGAAATGGGACACCACGTCGGACACGGTGAGCGCCGAGTCCGGATCCAAAGAGATGGGAGGAATCTCGAACTCCTCATCGCCGAGGCTGGGAGTGTGGAACGTCTGGAGGGCGGAGAAAAGAAGAAAGGAAGAAAGGAAGAAAAGAAAAAGGAGAAAACGGGTTTGTAAGAGGTTGGGGTGGAGAGGAGCGACGTGACAAATTTGGAAAAAGGAAGGAAAGAGAGTTAAAATAAAGTCGGGAGGAAAAGTATTTTGGACAAAAGATTTGATTTTTCTACGATTCTGAAAAAAAAACGTCTCTCTAAACTGGATCACCATGGCAACACATGCTGCTAACCTGCACACCGTGAATCTGCGACTCATTCAAAACACTTCGCTTTTGGCGTTTCTATTAAAAACCTGTTTATCACACTTCGTTTATCACATTTCTACAGCTTTTCTACTTCTTCCATTGTCTGGTTTCCGTCGATCAACGCTCCGTGCGTGACTGGGACGACGTTGCACGTGCTTTGCGACAGGGAACGCTGCCTCTTTTTACATCCTTATTTAACGTTTCAGTCTATCCCTGATGAGTGAGAAATGCGTAAATACACTTTTATATTTTACTTTTTTTTAAGATATATTATGCTACATTATATTATTCTGACAGTGTTTTGATGATCCGCTCGAACTTGTCTCATAAAAGCGACAGTGTAAAAAAAAAACAAAAAAGAGAAAATAAAAGTGAATTTAAGTAAAGAGGGGTGTGAAATATAAAGTATTTATAAATGATTCATACTCCACCAGCAGATCCAGCGAGGTTGAAGAGGTCGATGGGTTTAGTGGCACACTAAAAGATCGTGAGTATGTCAGTAAGTAAAAGGTCATGGCTCACATTACGCTGCAGTTTCTTTATACGTACTCATTTAACCACCGACATTAAATGGTTCATACAAACAGAACAAACAGGCCTCATCGTGTACGGCTCGTCTTATCTTTATCTAACAGGTAGTTTAGGCGTAGATGTAGTGTCGTTAATGTCGTTTAAAGCTGAGTTTGTGCCACTGATGTGTAATACTGCATTCGAGTCACAGAGCTGAGCGTCCGGTTTCTTTGCAGGGTCGTTTAACGACACTTACACCGCTCTGATCCAGTCCGTTTATTTATTATAAACTTTATTTCCTAATCCAGGGAGCTGGAAACCACAATACTCAAATACATTTTGTACGGCACGAGATAAAGTAAGTATGTCGTGCTGTGTGAAATTGTAAAATGTTGCATAAATATTGACGAATATATCAAATAATGAAACTTTAAAATGTGGTTTGTGGTCGTAAAAACCGAGCAAACTACAATTTTACACCATTTTAACGTCATTTTGCTGTATATTTTTACCTCTTTATGATTTATTGGAAATAAAACAATGTTAAAAAGTAAGAAACCAATCGTTGGTTCAACCTGACACACGTTAACTGTGAGAAGAGAGAGGTATCGAGTAGATATTCTGTCGCCTGGGGTTTGTCTGGATTAGGAAATAGAGTTTTAATTTAGTAAATTAGTTAAAAAATATATTTTAGTTTAAGTTTTTTCATCCGAATGTTTAAAAGAGTCTTTGAGGAAGCTGAGATCTTCTTCAGATCTTCTCCAGGTGTTTATCTTTCAGGTATCTTTAAAGAAACACAATCCAAAACTCGTTAACTCTGTGACTCCAACGCACGTGTTTAAAACATGAAATATACATTATATAATCTGCACAGGAGGACGGGATGGGAGGCGGGGACTCTGTGGAGATAAACAAATCCTGTTAGAGGAGAAATTAAACGCCACATTATTTTCCAGAGGTCAAACAAAAAGGTCTACCTCTGAAGAAGAGAGGAAAGGATGGCCGGACCCGGATATTGTCAGGTAGTTGTCGCTGCCTCCAGGGAACTGAAACATATAATAAAACAAAAAAATAAGGTGCGTAAGTTAGAAGTAGATTTCTAAATGTTTTCCCATATTACTCGTCATTTTTTTGACATTAAAGCTGCAGTAGGAAACTTTTATTGAAGTAACTTTACGTCGGATTTGCTGAAGCTTTCACTATATCCTGATAGAGAGAGATAATCTGTGGAAATATCAGCTTTGTTTAAACGTCGGGGTCCCCAAAAGTGTTTGTATCTGAAGCTCCTGGGAACGAGCCTCAACAATAAACTACCTTTTCTGGCTCGGAAACACCAAAAAAAAAGAGCCGGAAGAAGCAGAATACCTGTCAGGATTTAAAGAAAGCTTCACCAAAACACGACAAATAAATACCTCAACAAAAACCACCACAGGGAGCAATCCCAACCAGCAACCAGGGAGGCAGCAGAGCTACAATAAGTCCAGTAAAACCCAAACAAACAAGGTAATATCTAAAATAAAACCCTGATGCGTTCACTGACCAAGCCTGTTAGTGCAATAACGTAAAGCCCACACAAACACGTCACCCTGTGTGTGTGTGTGAATCACGTTTGTCGCCCCATTCATTGAGATAAAAGTCACCTTGTTGTCAGAGTCAAATCCATTGAAAGACTGCGGATCCAAGAACTCTGGATCGCCGTCGTGCTGCCCGGTACCGTCCGTTAAATCCGAATAAAAATTCAGGTCCATCTTTTCAACCGGGCCTCATATGTTAGCTGTGAGGCTCTTCAGTTCAATTCAAAGACGTTTTAACGCGATAAAACCGGAGCTCCCTCCCGTTTAACCTGTGCTTAAACTGTGGGAGAGGAGCTGTAACGTTATTAGTGTTTATTTTTTTATATTTATATGTATTTTTTTTTTTTAGTGGGGTTAGCTCAAAACGACTAGAACCGGAGCATGTGTAACGCCAGCAGCCGGGCCAGAAATAACCTCTCTGCTGACCGCCTGTCTACCCGAGGTAACGTGGCCGGTCCCGGTTCTTTATTGCGGACTTGTCCCGAACCACGGGTGTGTTTTTATTTTATTTTTTTTTTAGCTTTATTATCTGTCTTTGACGCAAAGCTGCAGTGCTCCTCCGTTGGCCCCGGCGCTCGTTTGTCCGCCGGACCTCAAACGTGACATTCGAACCAACGGCTAACTAACCGACACAACGTTTAACGGTTTAACGGTTTAACGGTTAAACGGGGAGCTTGCGGACGCCGTTACCGGGGGTTTCGGGTACCGGACGGGGGGTAAAAAAACACACAAAACGCCGGTGATCGTTTTCAAGGTGTCTGACAGGGAACGAACCCCCCGTTTTCGCTTCGTGTTGGCCCGGGCCAGGCTGCTCAATGGATCCCGAGCCCCGGATCGCGGGTGGGATTAAACGGGAAGGGCCGTTGGTCAAGTTAAACGAGGTCGGCGCCGGATGTGGAGCGACGCCAGTTTCAAAATAAAATCACATGCGAGGGAAAAGGAAAACACGAGTGGCTTTAAATTATTAGATTTTATTTTTTTGTCTCTCGTTAAAGGTTAATTAATTAAATTCTGACTCTTATACCCAGCCTGAATCTATGAGTTACATTAATGCACATTCCCTGGATAATGTATTTAATTAAATAACTGTCATATTGTGAATATTGTGTATGTACTGTCTCTTTTTATTCTCTCTTTTTAACTTTATTTATATTTTTCTGTGTTTTGTTACGCACCAATTTACCGAGACAATGTCTTTAAACTGATTCTGATTCTGAGATTTAATCCTGTTAACGCTGTGAGCTTCGAGTCTGCTTCTAATGGTGGATTAATTTACATGTTGTTGTACAAATTCTGCTTCAACAAATAGAAATGTATTAATTAATTAAA